TAGTACTCGGTATCATAAAGATAAGAAGGGTACTATACATGTATGTAGCAGTTGCTTCGGCGGCTCTACGGAGATTCCCGAACATATAGGTGCCAAATTTTCATTCCTAGAAAGACTTCCTAGAAGGGCAACATGGCGACAGGATTTGTTAGCCGCCAGGAGTTTGCAGATTTTGTCCGCACTAAGATCCTGCCCTTCGTAAAGAGCTCAGCGACTGAGAATCCTCGATTATACGGAGGTAGAATAGTAAGAGGACTACTTCACGAGGCCTGGGTTTTCGAGCTCCTGCAATCACTCGGCAACTTAAGCCGCATCTTGGCACAGCGAGGTACGTAGAAGCGGCCAAAGCGTGCTGCTTGCATCTAGGAAAGACTGTGTACATCGCCTGCGATCTCCGACGTACCATGTCTCATCAACAATCCCATTTGTTGACCGTGTCGTAGATGATATGTCATACCAACAATAATCGTCGACGACTCGATGTTGTGCCGTCGTTCTATCGATAGGGCTGGAGGTCCATGCCGCGGCTAGAACTAGTTCTCCATCCCGCTCCGACCAACTTCCCGACATGGAAAAAGCAGGCACAGCGAAGGCAAATGGGGAGGATGCTCATGAGCGCTCGACAACACCACCACCGCACGCCTCAATATACTCCATGCGCTCGGGGCTTGATAAGGTAAGGTAGTGTAGACGTTCAGTGTCAGCGGCTAGCACCGTCACTTGCCAAGCAGATGCATCTGGACCCGTGAGCTTGGCGTACCAGATCGTGGACAGCAATGGCAAAAGCACGGCAACAACACACCTCCACCTCACTACGACCCTCACTGGAGATCGAGATGCCAGCCTCACTTGCGCCTCGATCAACTCACAGCGCCGGCGCTGCTTTCGCATGACACCACCAGCTTGCGCCAGCAGCTACATGTACCTCTAGACTCCCCTCAACGGCTTCCACACCGACCTCCTAGACTATCTACACACCCTCGCCAAGCTGTGCCTCCAGCAGTCAACCACAGTCAACATGGTCTTGGAAGAGTCGCGCCAGCAGGTCGGCAAATGGGTCCGCATGCTCGACCCGCGCAAGTGGCACCTGGCGCATCCCAACTTCATCACGGTACACTACATGTATATCATCGGATGCACCATCATCGGTTCCATTCTTATATACCCCGCCGGTGGTCTGGCATACATTGATGCCCTCTTCTTCACCGCTGGTGCATCCACCCAAGCGGGCCTCAATTCGGTAAATACAAACGACATATTGTTGTACCAACAAATCGTCGTCATGCTGCTCGCCTGCATCGCAAACCCAATCTTCATCAACTCGGCAGTCGTCTTCGTCCGCTTGTATTGGTTCGAGAAGCGCTTCCAGCATCTCGTAAGGGAGTCGAGGAGCGCACGCAGGTCGAGGTCGAGGACTTTCTCCAAGAGCAAGAGTGAGATAGACAAAATCATTGATCCGGGCCAGTTGGAGAAGGGCGTCAATGGCAGGGAGATTCGCGTGTTGCACGACACCACAACACCGAATGGTATGAGTGGGAATACAGTGCAGATGTCTGCAACGGAGAAGAGATTTGTGGAAAAGCTGGGGTTGGGGGAGCGGTCCAGGAGCGTTTCGCCTACACCTGAGAGTAGTAACAGGGGTAGCAACAATAGTGATGAAGTTGTGATGGACGAGAAAGATCGTGACGGTTTCCAGACTGCGCCGCAGACACCAAGCACGCCGCCGGCACCGTATCTGGGCCTAAACCCTGGGTTGAAGAGGGAGATTACATTTGCCGACGAGGTATCTACACCCCATGCCAAACAAGCCTCAGACTTGCCAAGCGTGCCTGAAGGGACGGACATGGCCAAGCACATTCGCTTCCTGGAGCAACAGCAACGGCATGCCAAAGACAAGGAAGGCACATTGCGGATCCCCGGCCCGAGAGACTTCGATCGCGGAGAGATGCCGGCAGAGGTAGACAGTGATGATGAAGACAACCTCCACCAGCCATTGACGAGAGACACCTCTGACAGACCCCCGGCAACTGAACAGGAGCGCGCCAGACGGCTGAGCATTGGCAGCAAGAAGGAAGGACTGAATGCTGACGATCATCCGCCTCGAGCCATTACTTTCAACGAGCCGGATCATATTCCGGGCCGAGCACGTGCCCATATGAAGGCGGCCGAGAACACTGATGACGCCGCCGCAAACGATGCCGGGTTTCGGCAGACACTATGCAAAGTGAAGTCCAACCTCACCCGCCGACGAGGCCAATCTCACTCCCGATCGCAAGGCGGCGGCCCAAATCTCGAGTCCCGCAATAGCATCGCGAAGACATTCAGCAGCCTGACAACGGCTCGCACAAGGGCGTCATTGGAGGACCCGATGCCCTATCTCAGCTGGCAGGCCACCATTGGGCGCAACTCCGCTTTCCTGGGACTCACGGAAGACCAGCGCGATGAGCTCGGCGGCATCGAGTATCGCGCGCTCAAGACGCTGGCTAAGGTTCTGATCCTCTACTTCGTTGGCTTCCACCTTCTCGGTATGGTCGTCTACTTACCGTGGATTCTCCATACGCAGGGCCAACTGCTGCCCAGCTCTGGCTCGCCGATATTGACGTACCGGCAGTACGTGCAAAGTTCAGGAACGAATCCGGTGTGGTGGGGCATCTGGACGCCGGCCTCGATGTTCAATGACTTGGGTTTTACGCTCACGCCGGACAGCATGAACAGCTTCAATAACGGCGTTTTACCTTTGCTTTTTGGGTCATTCCTTATCATCATCGGCAATACTGGTTTCCCTTGCATGCTCCGGTTCGTCATCTGGGTCGCTAGCATCTTGGTGCCGACCGGGACTGGCCTTTGGGAAGAACTCCGTTTCCTCCTAGATCACCCCCGCCGCTGTTTCACGCTCCTCTTCCCCTCCAAAGCGACCTGGTGGCTCTTCTGGATCCTGGCCGGCCTCAACGGCCTCGATCTCATCTTCTTCGTCATCCTCGACCTCAACGACTCGGCCGTCACCACGCTCCCAGCCGGCCTCCGGGTCCTCGATGGCTGGTTCCAAGCGACTTCTACCAGAACCGCCGGCTTCTCCTGCATCAACCTCGCCGCCTTGCACCCCGCGATCCAAGTCAGCTACCTCGTCATGATGTACATCTCCGTCTTCCCCATCGCCATCTCCGTGCGGCGCACGAACGTCTACGAGGAGAAATCCCTCGGCATCTGGGGCGGCGAAGAAGAGGAAGGCGGCGAGCACAGCTACGTGGGCCAGCACTTACGGCGCCAGCTCTCCTTCGACCTCTGGTACGTCTTCCTCGGCTTCTTCGTCATCTGCATCGTCGAGGGCGCCCAGCTGGCCAACACGAACAACTACGCCTTCACCATGTTCTCCGTCCTCTTCGAGATCGTCTCCGCCTACGGCACCGTGGGTCTCAGTCTCGGGTACCCGAACATCGACGCCTCCTTCTCCACGGAATTCCACGTGGTGAGTAAACTCGTCATCATCGCCATGATGGTTCGCGGCCGGCATCGCGGGCTCCCCTACGCCCTGGACCGCGCCATCCTACTGCCCAGCGAGAATCTCAAGGACAAGGACAAAGCCCTCGACCGGACCCCGACGATGCAGCGCCGCATGTCGGTCCTGGATCCCAGTGGGCGGCAACAGGGCAGCTGGGAAGACGGCGAGTTAGACGAGAGTGGGCTGCCGAAACAGCATAGTGCTGCTATGGCTATGTCGATGGGAGCCGGTGGGGAGGCGAGTCCGGAGGGCTTGAGGGATACGAGGAAGATGCGGAGGAGGAGTAGTGGGTTGACAAATGGGAGTATAGCTAGTGGGCGCGAGGGCGGACGCGGTGGGCTGGAAAGCGGGACGCAGGGTTGGAGAGAGCGACGGAAAAGTTTCGCGGCGGTTCTGGCGAGTGGGTTGAGTGCTGGGCCGTCGATTTCGAGGAACTACGAGTGAGGTCGCTACCTTACCGCAGGCGCAGATGGGGCTGAAAAGGGGTGTCCTGTTTACCATGGAGCGTTCTGAGCGTTGTCTTTTTAGCTTTGGGCATCTACTGGGAACATCAACGGATCGGCAGGGCGTTCGGGAGTGTTACTCTGCTGCTGCATGCCGTGCTTACCATGGCGTTTAGCCCGAACATACTACCACATGCTGTACAAACGTGTAAACGGCCAGCTTTTGAGACTCATTTGGTTCGTAATCGCTTTTCATACCACTCAATATTGGTAAACCATATCGGCCGTAAAGGATGCATGGACGCTGAAGGACCTCACTCATCTTTAAATACTCACTCGCGACCGGAGCAACCCAGCCACTGATGCTCCCGCCTCCTCGCCCGCGCCAAGTCTACACCCACTCACCCACACCACCTCCTCGCGCTCTTAAACAGCCGAATCCACGGCCCAAACTCACCCCACTCCTTCGCCTGATGCTCCGGAATAAAACTCCCCACATCCCTCAGAATCGTCCGCTCCGGATGCGGCATCAGCGCCAACACCCTCCCGTCCGGTGTCCGCACACCCGTAATCCCCATCGGACTGCCGTTAGGGTTGAACGGATACCTCTCAGTATGCTGCAAATGATTATCCGTATACCGCAGCGAAACGAGTCCTTGCTCCACAAGCGCCTGTGCGGAAGACTGCCCCGTAGCCGTGAATTTCGCGCGGCCCTCGCCGTGCGCGGTGACGATGGGGAGGTAGGAGCCGTGCATCCCGTTCAAAAAGACACTCTGCGGGTGCTGCTGCCCAGGCGGATCGTGGACCTCCACCATGCAGACGCGGGCCTCGTACTGCTCGCTAACGTTACGCTCGAACGTCGGCCACGCCTCGGCGCCGGGAATGATATCCGTCAAGCGGGAGAGGAACTGGCAGCCATTGCAGACGCCGAGGGTAAACGTG